CAACCAACAACCTGCTAAAGAAACAAAAACTTATGAATAGAATTTTTGGTCCTTTACTTCCTTATCTAATGTAAAAATTATCTTAATATTCTGTTAAGTGGGAATAGCCAGATCTACACTTGCTTCTAGTGCTGTGCTATATACAGTAGAACAAAAGTTTCATATCCTTCTGACTTTGCTGCCTCACAAAATTTTAAATATTAGTTTAATAATTAGCAAGTACTTGTTTTTAACAAAACTGTTTCAGTATACTAAATAGAAATATTCGAAATAATGTACTAACTACGAATTCTCGAAACAGTGTAGTTTACAATAAGTAGGACTATTTAGGCATAAATTATTTCGAATCCGTAACCAGAGGGTCACCAAATACGAAAGAATCATTAGTTGGCACAAATATATCCGCCACAGCTTAGATAGTAATCCAAAATATTGTGATCGATTGTACTTCCTCTCCTCAGACTCATAATATGTCTTTCCGAATGTGTATTGGATGTAGACTCCAGATGACCTAGAATGTGCTCATTATTATTGGAATTACCAAATGAAATTGGAACAGACCCATATGGTTCATAGATTTGTGTTTGATCAACATGTTGGTTGTGTACACTTAAATCAGTGATATCTAAAACTCTCACCATATATTTCCCAACATTATTTACCACGATCCTCTTGGCTGATCGGACACCATTTCCTAGATAATACGTAACTTCTACAGACTCTAAACACCTCATATTCGAACGAAGAATACTTCCTTTCAATAACTTTGATGGAGTTTCTTTCGTAACAGGATGTTTATCATCTCTATATTGCAGTAGAAATACGCCTACTGCCTTCTCCAGTTCATCATGTGTTGAAGCAGCAATAGAATCAATAGCAGTTTTCAATATCTCGATAAAATTTTCTGCCTGACTATTGAAACAAGGGATCATGGGAACAGTGGACAAATGTCTTCACCCCACAACATTCAACCAGGTAATGACTGCATCTGCAGCAAAATGAGAATCATCGTCATTCACTAATATACTAGAGGCCCCTCCCGACCAAAAACTTTTCTGAATGCTGGGATTGTGAAGTCAGAATTTGACCAAGCTATGAAAAAGCTTCAGGCCACCTAAACAAAAGGTGATGACTACAAGTGCATAATACTTGCTGATAAATGAACTACAGTAATCTGTATGGATTCTCTGCGAGGCCTCAGATGATACTAACCATGGATTCCACTTCGAAGCATGATTCTCCGACTAATGACATTTTCCAAAATTGTTTGCTATACGACATGCATCTGCATTTATCTCCGGTCACCAACATGTTAGCCTTGTCAAGGATTTCGTTTACTTAATGCCCAATTGTTCACTATGAAGATCTTTACGGACAGACTCTCGCAATGTGAAAGGAATAACTACACCATGATTTAAACACAAAATACCATCAGGGGGAGAGGATAACTCATCTCGCTTTGAAAATATTTGTAGTCAAAATGTTGAATTTGTTTGGCACTCCTGTGGTGAATCATGTAGTCATAGGCCTTCAAAGTAATACTGCAACCGTAGCAGCTGAGGAATGTGCTAGAGATTTTTCAAAATGTTAAATGAACCTTGAAGTTTAGTGGTCAGTACCAATGGTAAAATTCTTTCCAAATAAATTTTTATGAAGTCTTTTAACAGCCCGAAACCCAAATAATGCTTCTCGCTGACTTTGTGAATAACCTTGTTCAGTAACAATAAGTTTGCGTGAAACATGGGCAACTGGTCTACATTCTAGCTCCAAAACCGCATCAACACCCACAGGTAATGCACCACAAATAGGCACAGAATGTGCACTAGGTGATTAAGTTAGAAGAACGGCATCAATTTGATGAAACTTTAGTAGACTTCGTAAGCATGGTTCTTGTTTATCACACCATTTAAAGGAATTGTATGTCAAAATGGCAAATAAGCAATTGGCATGACAAGAAAAATTGGGAATAAAACGGGAATAGTATTGAAGAGCACACACTAATAAACACAGTTCTGTAAGATTTTTCGGAGTATGTGGGTCAAATCACTTTATATCTGGTCTAAAACTAGTTATCCAAGACATTAAAAACTAAATACACAAAATGAACACCTATTTGGATTCATTGTAATATTCTTCTGAACTAAACCACGAAATAAGGCAATAAGTCTTTGATTGCGCGTTATTTTATCATGACCATGAATGATAAGATCCCCTTGATAAACTTCAACACCAAGATCACTGACTACATTATTCATAACTTCCTGGAATATGACTGGAAAACAATTCAGACCGAACGGAAGCAATTTGATTTTGAACAGGCTAAAAAGAATGTTAATTGTTGTCGAAATTGATGGAGATTGATCTATAGCGATTTGAAGATAAGCATCTTTTAAGTCAACTTTCGAAAACACTTTCGAGACATAAAGTCCATTTAGAATATATTCAGATTCCGCAGGCTCTCACGTTAGCTTAGATAAAAGAGAGTTCAGTGTTGATCTGTAATCTGGGATCTTGCTCTCAAACTTCAAGTACGTAACAATAGAAGCACTCCATGCTGAAGATTGGATCGGTTCAGCTATACGTTTAGCTTAAAAATTGTTCAGTGTCTTATGTACTGTTTCTCGAAGACCATAATGAATTATTCGTTTTTATGAAAGACCAGATCATTTTGTACTTGAAGCTTAATAGGTTGAGTTCCCGTCCGTTTGTTGAATCTGACGCACTCAGCTATCGTATCTTTAGGTCAGAATCTTCAAAAAAGTGAGTAAAGACAAATCCATATAAACTACTTCAAATTTATAAAACCCAGTATTGATGGTTCAACGTCATTAGCTAAAAGCCCACAATGCATATATGAAGAATCATCATCTTTACTTAGCAACTCACACAATCATCTGATGAGAATTATGTGTCCAGTAATCCTCAATACTTCAGTTGGTCATACTTCATATTTCCACGAGATTATTAAACAAGCGCGAGTTAAAGCAGCCCTGAGTGTGTAGTTCACCACGATGACCAAGCAAAGTGTTAGAAATCTTCACTGACTGTAAATCAAGCTTATTTACTGCCTCATAGTTATTACATGCGGTCTTAATTTCTTAGAATGAACTTCTGGGCGTTTTTATTAATTCTTTTTCTAAATTTGAGATATTTATTCCACAAATAAACCGATCACGAAGTTGAGCTCCCGATCGGTCTCCAGAATTACGCTTCGCGGCCTACTACTGCGACTCAATTATTAAGTCTTCGGCTTTCTGATCACTCTACCACAGCATTTCATGAAAGTTCGATCTCTCTCTGCATTAAAATTTAGTACACTGCATATGGCTAAGTAGTAATCGCTTGAGAGATTCACATGACAATGAAATAAGCTTCTCCGGAAAATCCCGATTCCATGGCAGGTTATAGGCCTCTTTTCCGATAAACGTCAGGAAACAACCTGTATATTGATAATATTTATTACTTTTCTAGTCATGCATAAAATATCTAACTGTTCCATATAGTCCTCAAAGTCAATCCCACTTGAATAAATATCCAACTGTACAAGATTTGACTCCATTGTGACCCAAATATGATAACTGGAAGTATTCGAATTAATTTGCTTACTAAGAATTTCCGAAATAATATAATCTAAGAAAAGTAGATCTAGTTAGGCACATAACGTTCGCAATCAAGCACGACGGTATCATCACTTCTTATAAATACAACAATGGGCTTCCGATCAGTCACTTTAACCTTGTTCTCATTCGATTTGTGTAAGGGCTGTGATACTGCCCAGACTAAAGCAGGTGGTTTTCTTAGGGGGACACACCCCGAGCCTTTGACCTGAAGGTCTGATCCACAAGGCAGTGGAGCGTCGTAAGGAGATGCAGTCCCATGGTAGCCGGTGACCAACAGTTGGTTCATACGCCATTTGTTCCCTCAGGATACTGGAGCCCATGTGCACCATTGGTTTGGAATCAGGGTTTTCCAACTCCCCTAGGTGGACTCGCCTTGTACACCAACCCGGTTAAAGCGCCGGACATTCGCTTTTCGTCCTCTCAATTTCATAAACAACACCCCTGCCACGAGAAGGCAGTTAGTAAGACTTTCCTGGAAGAGGCTATATATTCGCGTGGCCATATGAGAGCATTTCGAGAGAGCGGATTTCCCCCACTCTCGGCCGTACCAGAGCATGTGCGCGAAATTCCTCCAGGTATGAACTCTGTACAGACGTTTCTTTGTTTCTCTCTGTACATGACGCCTCTATTAGACCCCTTTGTACTAACGTGTATAACGTTTGCCGTCATCATGTTGTTCTAGGGCCAACATATTTTAAGATTGACGAATTCAGTTTTTTAATCACTATTTTTACTTTGCACTTGTTGGTAGGATGTGAGCTGTTTTTTCGATAAGTGTGCTACGCTTTCCTCGTCTATCAAGATCGTTTGCTACTGGTACTCGGTTGTGAACCTTTTGAATACATTTTTATCTCATGCTTGATTGTTCATCTACATCGACTGATCTAACTAACCCTTTCTAGACTAAGTATTGTTTCCTAACTGGTCGAGATATTTTTGGTATTGTGATAATTTTGATTTGCAGTGTTGTAATAATTGATGTTTGAAAAATATCCTTCTGGCTCATCTAGTTAGGTTTTTATTTTCCTTCCTAGTACCTGCTCTTTACCTTCTTGTTCGTTTCATCAGGTTATTAGAAGAGTTTTTCACCAGTACAGTCTTTAAGGGTCTCTATAAACTCAAAATTCGGATCCCACAACCGTACGGTACCATTAAGATCTGAACAGACTACGCATCACCACTACCCATATTTCGGAGGAAAAATAAGGGTGACCAGTGACCTTATGAGTACTAGAGATCTTATTTGTCAAACTATACCACATAGGCACCTAGAACTACGAAATTAAGGTCCCACAGATGGAAAGCCTCGTGCTGTACCTCGAAACTTCCCGTTGTCCGTGTCGATTGTAAACGTCAAGTTGTGGTAAAGTGTATCAGACCCAGTAGGCTGTGCTTCGACCAAAACTATCTTCCAACCATATATAATTTGTAATCACTGTCAACTTTCGCAAATGAAACCTAAAACCTAATCCAAAATTTAACATATAACACCGCCAATCACCTAACAAACATGTCAGAACGATCATAGAAAAGAAAGAATGTCGACCACAAAGAAGTACCGAATGCGTTGAAAAATGAATTAATATTTTTTGAATTTGTGCGATTTAATCAAATTTACACGTATTCCCTTAACTTCACCAGCATATGGTTTGTCTTCTTTACGAACTGGCGCAACACGTGATCTGTAACGAATTGTTGCCTTGCGGTATTTATACCGTAAATGCACTCTAGGGTTACGTTCACGTTTATGTCGATATTTTACAATGCCTTTATTTTTCATTATCTGGAGAAATAAAAAAAACCTCACATTAGACTGGCAGAAAACTTAGAAGAAAAAGACAGAACTGGTTCGAAAAACAAACACAAAATGCAGTAGAATATTATGAAAGAAAGTAAGACAGACTAAGAACTGTTTGATTGGAGTGAACAAAATATGATGGATTATAAATGAATAAACGAAACAGGAAGAAATATCATGGGCTACCAAAATTACGACTAAAAATATCACTTTAACTACCATTGCCATTACTCATTCTACTATGAAGAGACCGAACTCACTATACTTAACTGAAAAGATGACCCATCATTGTATATGCGTACAAAGAATGACAATCAACTAGTTACTTTCTAGAAGCTAAGGTTAGATGGAAACTAAAACCAATCAGTGAAGGTGCAATATGATAAGGTTTCAAATATCATCAGGAATATCAATTTTCTGGACTGAAGATAATACAAAAAATGATACAGAGAAATCCACAAATCTAATAACTAGACGAATTAATTTGATTACATCGTTCTCTCGAATTATTTTGAAGTGAAAAGTTATCGTAGAAACCACTGAATATAGTCGCCAAATATTTCGAATCCTTTATTATACCAACTTCAATTTAGGAAAATGGGTAGTATTATAAGTTCTCACTGAAAAAGTAGGACCAAATAAACGGTTGGTGAGTCACACTTTTACTTATTTATCGTCAGGACTTTATAAGAAAACATTACGTTGAGACATTAAATAATGGGAAAAAAAACTAAATTACAGATGATTCTTGCTAACCTCTTTGCTTATTGGTCGATTTGGTAGATCATGAGTGGACTGGTCAGCTGCTGTCGGATCAACTATGTCCCTTTCATCAGGCGCTAAAAACTGATCACTATCATCGTCGAATCCTGAAATGCTTCCGTCACCGTCCTCATTAGATTGACTATCAATAAACTGACTGAAACGTAAGGAAACTCAAAATTAAGAAATATTGTATTCATGATATTTTATCACGATGTATACGATTGTTCAAACAAAAAAACTGTCAAAAGTAGTATAGAAACTTATTTGAATCAACACTGGACACTTTTTTCTACATTCTTCAGGTCGAATAATCTTAGTAGTGACTGGTTTCTAAAGGTTAAAGGAAGGTAAACCAACACATGGCATTATTCCATGAAGTAATTGACTGTCTTGACAGGGACCTCACAAAGTGGGGATTTACTGAAAAAAAGCAGAGCAATGATTGAAATTTACGGCTGGGGAAAAATTGTTGCAGTACCGCAGTTCCATCTACTCTTATTTCATGTGGTGGATCGGTGGCTTAGTGGTTAAGATGCTTGACATTTAGCCACTTGGTCTCGGGTTCGAACTCTATTAATTCACTCATTTCAGTTTGAACAGCCGAATAATATCACTAACTTTAATACACAAGGTGTGCCTATGAGCTGAGTATACAAATCTATTCTTGGTAAATGATTTAGGATACAAACACTTCGTACTCTTTACCCTAAACTAAATTTTACATTTGTTTTATTACTATAGTAGATATTGTATCACTTTTACTCCTAATTCGCTAAGCATCTTCAACATTTTCTGCTCACTGTGCTACTAAGGGTGTTGAGAATTTCAAAATTATGTAGATAAGTACTCATTTTTGCATATTACAATATAGTGAATACCTCCGGGTTTATAGCAGAAAAACTAGTGAACAACTGAAATTTAAAATAACCAATGAAGTGATAGTACACAATAAATTCAGCACTATGTAATTAAACTTCACCCTTTATTGTCAATAAAAGTACACTTTAGAGACGAGTTCTCCACAATTGGGGACCCAACCATTAACTTTCCGCACGAAATTAAAATGCCATGTATAGTAATCAGTGTAGGGACTCTTAGCAACCTGTTTGGATTCCCCTGAGAATTTGATAATATGGACAACCTATATCCATTAGAAGGAATTTATGTGTCGCGTGGTGTGAGTTACTCATATCCACATAAGTAGCATATGACGATGGTCAGGCATGGAATATATTTCACTAGAAAACAGATAAGGAAGGAGCGGGAACGGAATCCAATTGGTATGAAAATGCATGAACAATGAAATCGGAGACTATGAACTGATATTTGCAGAAGGAGCGGTCAAGATTGCGACAATTGATTGATAGTTCGCAAATTAACTGTTTACTGTATGGTTGTCAGATTTTAGTGAGATATTCTGTAATTTTGTGCTCGAATTTATTCGATTGTCCCCACCTTGTGTTTTTCTTCACTATAGTTGCTATTTCCTTTGCAAGTAGAGTAACATGTATAAGACATTAATAAAATCATACATTTCATAAAACTTGTTTATTTTTTGTAATGTCATTGTTTTCTTTTCCACAAACTATCTACTTCTAACAGCTGATTTCTAATTGGTCGGAAAGTAGCTGGAAGTTGATCGTGACTGTTTAAAGCTCATCGCTATACTATGCTTTCGCCCTGTTGTCTTCACAGAAGACTAAATTCCAATTACTAGTCTATAGTTGTAACCAATAAGACACAACTTTGGAAAAAATAAAAACGGCACATGATTGACCACAAAAAGAGACGAAAAGATGATAACATAACGAGTTTCAATTATTATTACCTATCAGTATTGGAAAGAACATCCACTCTACAAAGTTCGTTAGTCTATAAACAATAATGGAAACAAAACAGGAAAATATTGACTGAAGTTGGGAATGTTGGGCCATCTGACATCAATTAAATATATAAGAAAGGCGAAAAGATCATTTCAAGGCCTAAAAGCTTTCGTCTGATGAAACATACTGTGTAAAATTAGCGTATTATAACCGTATTATTGGTAGGTAACTTTCTTTTATTGCATGGTTTCTCTCTTAAATATGTAAGTTATTTGTTCGACAATATTCAAATAGTTATTGTAGACTTACTTGTACTGCAAGTTGACTGTTATTGCTGGATTCATCATCGTTTTGAATTTGATTTATTGTAACAAAAGCTGATTATTATTTACTGTAGAACTTTATATATATATATATATATATATATATATATATATATATATATTGATGGTTGCCAACCAGCTAAATCCATATTTAATATTTATTCTGTGTCATTCCCTTGTATGTGTACAGCAATTATGACGAATCCTTTAAAATCACATTGGTACGGTAAAACGATATTCCCCCATCGAAAAACAATTTTCAAGCTAACAGAGTTGAGAACTAAAAATATCGAATCATACTGTTGATCTAACATTACGAAAGCATCTAATAAGTTATATGCGCTTATTTGTATTTGGAGTGTTTTAACATGGATCCCAACAAACAATAGAGCGTTTACAAACAAGTACGGGTATGATAAAATACCTTATTCCAAAAGTAATTTAGAATGAGATATGTTTGCACAATGTCCTTAAGGAAAATTATGTACTGAATTGACCACAGTTGTGTTACCACGTAAATCCAGAAATCACTAAACAGTTAATTCGTCTTATTATGGAACTCCATGGTAATGAATGGCCATGATCACTCCAAGAAAAAATCTAAGGCATCCAAGTGTCTTAACAAATGCTTAACCATTAGACCATCCGATTAGTATTCAATAAATTCACACGGTATTCTAAATGACATAAACCTATGACAAACACTACATGAAAGCTAAATTAATCTCCGCAAAACTCATATATATATATATATATATATATATATATATATATATATATATATATATGAACTCACAGTTTTCCTCTTCTGGCTTTTAGTATTCTTCACTTCATTGCCAGGTAGTAAAGCATGTAAACTGTGAATCAAAAAATATAAACACAAATTTACCATCTTTACGGTCTATTGGAGTTATTCAATTACTTTCCATTTAGATTTGTACTACTTTGTGAACAAATTTAATCTAGTGATCAATTATCAACTCCTTTGCCAGGCATAGATTCGTGCGGCTGGGTTTCCAGTTACAGTTTAAAGGTGAGGGGTAGTGATATTACCTAACTGTCCAGTCGGAAGTGGGTAAAATAAAATGGAGTTTAAATCAGCGATTTAATGGCAGAAGGCTGAACACTCCACTGATGAATTACTTTATCTAAAATTGGCTGAAAATGAGGTGGGACTGGACAGATGATACGTCCTAATTTTAAACTCTATGGTCAAGTATATCTGCGATCAAGGAGATAGGATCGCGTCAAGTACCATTGGGTCTAGTTATGATATGAAAAGAAAGATATCATTTAGCCATTAGGTCAGAGAATTCCAGTAGTTTGAAATTTTAACTATGATTGTTGTGCGATCAAACTACATCCTCATACATATGCACAAGTATATATATATATAGTGTGTGTGTGTGGAAAATATTCATTCAAGAAAAACTTGTACCAAACACTCACCATTGTTCTCTCATACTTAAATCACTGATAGAAGAAGTGAAAGTAATTGGATTAAGAGAATACGGTCTACCAGATGATAAAGCTTTATTAATCACTTGAATGAGACGATTTCCGATAACATTAAAATAACCAGCATCTTCACTTAAACAACCGAGTCTTTCCTAATTTTAAATAAAATAACAAGAAGTAATAAGGCCGTTATAGTCATATATCAGTTTTAGTTGGTGTTATCACTGAAAAATAGAGGGGACTACACAATAACTTCATTTTATTATGGGACTCCTTAGACATGAGTATATAGGATCCTGTTAGGAATCAAAGCTTAAACCTTCAATTCTTGCGGCAAATGCTTAACTAATAGAAACTAATGAGCTACCATCTAATGGTGCGTTTCCAGCTTCAACCAGTTCGCGATGTAGGACGACAATCATTAAATACTATTGAGGATCATTGTTAACATTGCTCACGTAAATAACCCCACCAGCCACGACTTTATGTCGGGACTTTAGGAACATATTGAAGTAAGAGTAAACTAAAAATGATTATGAATCGTCAATTTACTGAATGTGGACTGGTTAGATAAAACACAGGGGAGTTATTTATAAAAGTAACACTATTTGATAGTTTTATTTTTTTTAATATCCTTTTAATGACACAACATTCCTCGACCAACTGTGGTATGGATACCTACTGTTTATAAGTTTTAAAATAAAAGGACGGAACGGCCGTCCAGTGCTTCCAGGTTTTTCATGGTGGTCTAGCTTCAATTGACTTATGATTTCAACTATGAAAAAACAATTGTTCAATGGCTCCTTGGTTTTCAATGGTTGTTGTTTAACTTCAGTCAACTGCATGATGTGAACTACACATTGAACAATTTACATAAACACCATTATTTTAATAAGTTCATTGTTTTTAACTTTTAACCTACTATTAATAGAAGTGATTAGCTAGGGACGTTCATAATCAAGTGTTTTTATTAAGGATTTTATTTTCACATGAGTACAGATCTGGAGTTACTACGTAAGGAACAGACGATCATTAAACTATACCAAACACAGAGAATCAGAGGAATGAAGGGTTTTCATAGGAGATTTTCTAATATAACGAAAATAGGTCAAAGTATGAATGACACTGTCAGATGTATAAAGGTTGGTAAAAAAAGAACTGACTAATCGAAGTTTCATGGTAGTTGGGATTCTTCAATACACTGTATTCGCAATCCTGAAGGATATGATGTCCTCTATGGGATTTAAAGCAGTGTCACAAAGCTTCAGAATACAAGACAATACCACTGCACAATTTTGATGACACTTCAAACGATTATTAATACATCCTTGTGAGCTTAAATTATTCCAATGTTGATGTACAGCACAGAATTTCGATCAGTCCTCATGTTAAAAATACACCCTAGGTGGATGGCTTTGATATAGCTATCTTGTTATAAGTTCTAGTCACAAAGAAACAATAAAAACCGTTACAAACAAATATGATAACCGTCGAACAAGATAGTAGTTAACTGGGCCTGGCAGACTAATGTATAATGCATTGATGTTTGGATAGATAGGTACTGGATCCGAATCTGTGTGAAGATCAGCACTGGAATGCCACTACATCTACCTGACTGGTCGGTCGCAAATAAAGCGAAGCTCACCTAGATTGCACTCCTACACACAATTCAAATATACTAAGATTAATAATAGCTTTCTAAGAGAAGATACATCGACTACTTTTACAAAATTTATTAGATAAAACGTTCATCATTATTTCACTGTAGTAAAAATGATTGATGATATAATACCTGCTTACCTTGTAATGTTCTTCAAGTTCTCTATGTATGGGATTATGATGAAAAGCTGGTGTAAATTGTAGACGATGAGTAAAGTAAGCTTTTAATAAACTGGCATATCTAAAAGAAAGTGAATTATTATTACTAAGAGTTAGTTGGTTAACAACTATTACTTTGTTTGTTGAATAGACAATCAAACAATCTAGGGAATGAAAGTTTCAAGTGAGAAATGTCACAAATATGAGGAATAATCTTTTTTAAAAATTGAAGTGGATATGAAGTTTTAGTAATTAGAACTGATGGGTGTGAAGTCTTATGCGTACTCATTTAGCTATCGTCAAACTTAAGATATCATATTGTTCAAAGTAAAGGTCACTTCAAAGAAATATTAGGATGATAAAGAAAAGATCATTATTCACATATTAATCTATAGGCCTGTTGGAATCAGTGTCTGGAGACACTATCATTTTCATAATCAAAATGAGAGAGGAACTAAGCAGAAGTAATCGAATAAAACATTTTGTAAAAACTAGATCAATAGGATGATTAATCCTTTGAACAGGATTTCAAATGTGACTAACCTATATACCTCATGATTTTTGTTAGCTAAGAACCCTAAGCATCTCATGCCTTATAGGAAATCCCTTAAATCAATAACCAATAGTTCACTCGATCAACTGGTGTATTTCTCACTGCTAATCACTCTCGAGTTTCTTATGATTAGTCAAGCTGAAGGTGATGTTCCAAACATTTAATATATAATTGGTGGAAAGTGAAGTTAAATGCGACCTATGTAGCAATTTTAGATATAACATCAGTGGTATTTTTCATGCATAATATTTACTGAAAATATCTACAACAACATATATTATGAATACATGGCCATACCTAATATAAAGATGTCTGTACAAAAAACAGAAGATCAATAGCTTAGTACTTTAAAATACTGAGATTTTAATAACTGAATTGAGAGATAAAACTCACCACTACTGCTTTTGTCTCAGAAACTAATGGATAGTAGTAACACTAGTTCCTACACAAAGAATGTTTGGCTCAAAATCTTTGAGTGATCAATACTTTGCTTCGTAATCAGGTTACGTTATAATAATCCACACAGAAAGAAAAACTCATAAATCGACAGGAAACGACTAATTCAATTTAATAAACTTTTTTATAGCTTTGTACACTTGTTACAAATTAACAGAGAACGTTCTTTATCTGCTATTTTAGTGGTTTCAATTACAGGCTAAATAGTAATAACCTTCACCAATTTATATTTAATAATAACTGTACTGTGCACATTTAAGCTATAAGCTTGTTTATTGATAATAACGACATCAAGAAATATTATACAACCATATGTGGCGTGGTATTTTGGTGGATAATTTACTTGGATATAAATTTGCAAAAGTTGTAGGTTTGAAACCCACGGCACCTACTTTAGCTCAGGTAATCGGGTAGTGTTGTGAGATTCTTTTATTATAACTGAAATGCTAATAAGTAACTAACTGGCTTCTCATAGAATAATTTTCTTATCGTAATTCACTAGTTAATCATAAAAGAACTGTTTCCTAATTGGTTGATACATTATTTATCTGTCTGATCATACTAAACTAGTCATTCTGTCCTAATCTGTGCTGAGAGTTGATCATTTTTGTTTTTCTACCCAAGCTAATTATTGCTTATTGTAGAACTATATATAGATATATATATGAACGTAAAGGTATTACAAGCCATGAGTCTTTTGACTTTATTCGACCTGTAGTGAGTTTGTCCGATGAATTTGGCAAGTATTTTCGGTTATTACAAAAAATATGTGACTAACAGTCAAGTACATAGAACGACAACTAGAAAGATAAACTACATTAATTGATTAAAGTAGATTACCACATACTTTTCATATTGTGTTGAACGTTTTTTCAAATACATTACAGCAACGCAACTTGAGGGAATACCACGAATGCATATATTTTTATTCAATTTGATCCAATCATCATTATTACTGATTTCATCATTATTAACTATGCCCAAGTTTCGTGTTAATGGCCTCCATTTCTGTTCTAACCACCCGGTTACTTTATCTAGTTCACTAAACCAACGACCACAATCCGGATAGTTATCATTTAAATACTAAAAATGACGATGTGGTACATTTAAAACAAATTCACAATCAACAAAATTTATTGGTTTGTTCAACTTAATACTAGACAAAGAGATTAACAAGTTGGCTTGTTTTCTCGATGCAAGAATGTTTCGAAAACACAGATTGGTCTACTTTTAACAGAGTCAAGTACCAAACATATCAGAACGATATGACGACCTGTTTTATCTAGTACAGTAATAGGGATATAAGGAATCCAATATGAACAGTGTTTCTATTAATAGGTTTTGATATTTTTATCGACAGATGCTTAGCTGGATTTACTGTTGCTTCCTCAAAATGGTGTAGAATCAAAAGGTCCTGTAACAGGAAAGTGAATAATCAGCTAACTACCATGAGGTCGGTTAATCTGACAATTAGGTTTACCAACAAAAAAATATATTCTTATCCGACAGTCACAAAGCTAAATGATGAAACATAATCGTAAGGGTTTTTGTTGTCCCACTGTTAGTATTTAATGCTAGATTTCCATAAATTTCGGTAAGTTTATATAGACCTTGAACAGGTACCTCAAAACTACCTTTTTGTTATAAGTTTCAGTATATTTAGGCTATAGCTAAAAATAGGAAGCGCGTTCCGACTTAATTCGAACTTTAAGGTGGATTTGTATGCAACACAGTTGTAATGCTCACACTGAGACTTCAGACTAACGCCAACCAGTCATTTCTTAGGCTACTGAGTACAGCTACCCACCATCTCGCTTAACAAGTAAACGTTTTTTCGTGTTTGTTTCATCCTGTTGTGGAGATGTGAACACCCACACTGGGAAACATTTACACGGCAAGTTATAAATGGGAAAAAACGTGGGTTCTGGATTTCACAGATATTCCCAGTTTAAATATGAAACGTTCGTAAATGATTACCAAAGCTCTGAAAACACAAGAATATTCATGAAGGTTATTTTATTTTTTTCCTCACTAAAGTACAAACAATAATAGTCACAACCGAATAGTAAAAACAGTATACTATATACCTTTTGAATGAGCATCTTATCAGCTGACTTAGGCCAAACAAGTAAAGGAAGTCCATGAGATCGGAATATTGAAACTTCAGAAGACAAATTTTGAGGAAACGATGGAATACTAAGATTACTTAGTTTGCAAACAACCAAATCGACTTCAGTAGGATTTGAGATGTCTGAGTGATTAGAGTTATTGTGATTTTCACATGTTTTGAGAGAAAGTTCATTTAAATTTTGCTGTATATATAGATGAATTCTACTTTGACCAGTTATAACAAGAAGTTCACTTGCATCTGGAGGTGAGAGAAGCAACTGTGCCGACGAGGATTTAAACAAAAAGGGAGGGTACAATGCTGCCTGCTTTTGTCGACAATCATTAATACAAAGCTTTTGAGATTCTATTTAAAATGTAAAAGTGAAAGCATATTAAAAAGCACCCATAAAACAAAATGACCAACTGTGAATTTTAAAAAAATAGAGAAAAACAATGCTTAGAATATGATATTAATTATTAATCATTGAAGAAAGGGTGATGGTTTCCCTTGATTTACTTGGACAATTTATCGCATCAGACATTGCGTATACCTGGATCTATCGATCACTGAGACGATAACACAATACAATTTGAATCTCATAAAAACCGCTATGTCAATAGTTAACCATAAATACTGACTAGATTTTCTTACCTTTGAAATATACCAGGTTGTTTGTTGGAACAGTTCAGACCAAACTGTTGACACTTTTAACATAGGCAATTTGTTGTTTGGTATGTTCAGTATTATGATGAAATCTAATAAAGTTTTTATTTCGTTTCTTACTATGGTGAAAACAAGTCATGGTAAAAGACCTCACGCTAAACATTTCCGGCATTATTTAATATTTCGATGTTCTAAAATAAACCAGCTTACTATTCCGACACTAAAAGTCACATAAGAATTGACATAAATTTGCCTTACCTAGTGCCAACATCGTAAGAAACCAAAAAAATGGAAATAATGATTACGAAAGTAAGAGAAGTTGGGATTTAGTCATGAAATAAGAAAACAACTGGCTGGTGCACGGACACATGTCATTAAGTATCTTCGCTCCCACTAATGAGTGTGGATGATTGCAAATACATTTGATTGGGAAAATGTCGAAATTTTGGGTAGGAAGAATGCAGAAATCAGCGAATTCTTAAAAGCTTGACACTCAGGCAAAGCAACAGTTAATAAACACACGGACATCGATCTGATTTATCAGACAATTAGAAACATCATGGATTAACATAATACGATGAACCAGGACAAAGGGGGAGATGATAAATTAAATATTTCAATAATGACAAGATAAAAGTCGACGATAATCAAGGGAAATTAAGGTCGACAAGATAAGCTACCAGTCATGTGGAGAAATCTTAATAGTTCACTTCTATCCGACTCCGTGCTGAAGACTTCAAGACTTTAGATTTTCGTGTTTTGAAGTGAAGCGAATAATGTACTTGTCACTTTTGTCTTTAATTTTTACGACCAATATCAAAGCAAGGATTAACAGGACACTTCAAATTGGTTATATGTTTTAAACAAGGTAAAGTATGAGGTTTTGGTCAGAGTCAGTTGGAAAGACCAGGCTGACTGATGCTACTGGAAAGTATAACGCCTGTCACCTACCAAAAGTTACGATTATATCTTAAGGTTAGGTTTAAACAAACTAGGATAGTCAGAGGACACTGGGCTGAACTGCAGTCTGAATAAAACGGTCAAGCTGGGGCTTTACACTTTATCAGGATGATAGGGATTAGTATTTTAGAGCAACTGGTGATGTATCTCAGGATTGATGACAATGATACTGCAAGAAAATAGTAGTAATAAAACTCATTTGCCGAGCACAGGTCTATATACTCGACTTTTAATGATACATTGTCTGTAGGGTAATAATACTGGTCGGTAAAACTATACTAAACCAACTGTCGAAATATCCTATGTCAAATATCAGCACGACTTTCATATGATATTAAGGGCAGATTGTTGCTGGGGATCATGATCTCGACCACATTTCGTATTTTAGAAAGACCGTGCGTGACCGGCCTCAAGCAGTTGTCCCTTGGGCACTGCGGTCACGCTCCCAGGTCGTTCCGACCAACACTAATCCAACTTCTTTTTTAGGTCCCTCAAGAAATACTTTTCCACGGTGTGGGCAGCCGGGAAGTGATAACTGCTCTCATACCCGTAACAGCACACGATTTTAGAAAGACCAAATGAAGATTTCGGTGACCATAATTTATGGATGACTTTGGGCGACACCATGTTGACTTTGAGTGTCCACCTAATAACCAGGACCAAATGAGGATTATGAGCCTGTCTGAGCAATTAGAACTATTATTTACAAATAAGCATTAAGGTTAGGAATTAAATTTAGGGTTCTCATCACGAATCGATATCAGCTATAATGCCAAAACTCTATTTATCCAAATGGATGAGTGAATTTCACGACAAAATCTATAATTTGGTATCTTAAACATGAATGGTTCGTCCACAAATTGTAGTCTCGCCACGATTTCTTAAAGGAATAGTGTTGGGGTCAGAATTTTGGTGTTTGGAGTGTTAGGGATCCGGGCTATACATACGTTCAGACCCAAGTAGATGAATATAGATACGAACACGTGACGATGTATTTGCCATCATTTATATTGCGTCGTTTGAGGTCTTTTGACGCTATTAAGTATGGAAACTTGGGTTTCATATAATTCCATATAGGTTCAACGTTGATACTCTTATCTAATCACAGAATGACGATACGGTGTTGCTGTAAAAAGAGGGAAAGATAAGGTCTCCAGACATACTTTCAAAAAGGTAGTATTCAGCACCTTAGCGTTTTGACTTCTGAACTCCAAACAAGCATTTGATGTTTGTACACCTTATTGATGTGGAAGCCATGAATTGATGAAGTCTATATCTTAAGCTTCTTTCTTGCTCACAAATGGAACTCATTAAATGTTGTGGCTAACAATTACGTAGAAATTTTCCATTTCTGCAGTTTGTTATGACTTGATGGTTTTCCGACTATAATTATGGTAGTGATAAACGTATTCCTAAAAGCTGAAAGTTTGTCCTGAGGGCACATAAAGATGACAAACGGTGGGTCAACAGAAATGAAAAACGTCTGACTTATCGTTTTCTGGAGCAAATTAGATTCTGATTGGTAGTAAGTGCCGTTAAGTGCAGTGTAATCAGAAACTAACCAGCAGTTAAATGATTGTCACATGCGTCGAGAATCATTTTGCAGGTCGCGTTTTTAGAAAACTGAAAACCCCCAAAAAGTTAATCATCGAGTTGTACACATCTAGCGGGAAGTACGTAATCACACACAGAACACACAAGACAAGATTTTTACCCATACCTTCATCGTCAGCATCAACTTTATCCCCACCGTAGTATGAAGGCTTTTCTCTCGGTTTACCAACTTTTACATCCTATTTTAAAGGTGAATTCGGAAGTTACACTCCTTACCATTAGTCAACCGAAATATGAACGTTGATGTGAAGTTAACTCTATTATGACGAAATAACTATTTCATTGGTCAAATCCAGCCACGTTGAAGAAACTTATCAATATAATAGCCAAGATAAGAAAGACTGGTGCAGCCTGAGTAAGTAAAATATGGGTCATTACCTGGACTGTTTGAAGATAACTTTAACGTCCGAAGAAACTTCTAGGCATGGCATAGAGTAGCGTAAGATTTGTACGTACTCGAAGAACTCTAGGTCTTGTCAAGGTCATTGAATGGTCTCAAACAACTTCTCATCAGATTTCTTTTTACACACTCAACAGATTGCTGATTCGATATCTGAGAGACCCAGGTGTATAGAAACAGTATACATGAGCATATAACCTTGTTGAAAATTCACTTAAATTAAGCTCTTGGCCCTTGTATTATTATTATATTAAGGGTTATGAGCTTCACTGTGTTCACAGCAAAAAGGTGTGCCGTCGACTTAGTAAGATAATCACACTGCAATATCTATGATGTTGTACTTCTTATTCACACATCTCGCAGTAGTATGGTATATGTTGGGAGATCCAAAATGTTTCTCGAAAAACGTTGACGATACCACAGGTATTATAGTTTGACAACACTTTACCAGCAACACCTATGATTTAGTCGCACCCACTAAGTAAAATCAAAATTCAGAAGCGAGGAGGTTGGAAGATATATTTGATGAGTTGTCAATGCATCGATGAATGACTGATCTAATCTGGCTAGTGGTCGCAGGAGATGTTGCACACGCCGTTCCGAAACGTGATCTGGTACGGATGCATGACCGCACGCCTTCAGTTAAATGAGTCCACTAAAAGGAATGTGGTCAGCATTCAATGTCGAACACTTACAGAGCTTGTGATTTTGGGGATTTGTTTACAGCCACAACGTTCGGAAGGGCTATGGCAACTATGGGAAACATTTATTTCCTGTCAGCATTGACTAGTCGTTTCCCAGAAATATCCACAAAGCCAGAAGTCACGTATCACACTGCTGACTGAAGGATTATCTATGTTGCTGCTCTGTTTAGTATGGCTCCAGAAGCTGAAGGCCATCTGGAATACTGTAAATGCTGTCAATTTTCTGCATATAAACTAATCATCAGGTAAGGCTTCCTTTTCACACCTCACGTCTCTTCTTTCGTGATCAAGTTTTCGTTCAGATTTAGCCCGGAGTCATTAGAAGACCTTAGGAAACCGGCTCAAACGCTCCTTTGGAAGACTTAACAGAATGGGCTTGTTATAAGACATTAACATACTATGGTGTGTCAGTAAGAGTTCATTCTTTGTATGTAACAGGTATGTCAATAACTGATGGTCTTGAGCCATTTTGATCAATAAAATATGTTCACGAGTTTCATACTATTTATTCGTTTGCGTCTTTCTCCATGGTTTCGCTGAGTCGGACTGTGAATCCAATATATGATGAGAATGCATGTTACTTTATAGACTTTCGTGATCGTCATGATTTCGGCGCTTGACAATTTTACATGGTTAGTCTAAAGCACTAACATAGATGATACGGTCACATCAGTATAAAGGGTTGCATCATTTGTTACGTGTCACACGTCACTGTAATTTCAGAATCATTTAGTGAATCAGCATGGATTCATATAGTTCTCGACTTCGAAAAATGTGACATGAATGACCGTTCAGCTCAGCGTATATCTTCTCTGTTGGGTGCCAGTTTGCACTTTGTACGATTAGGTTGCTTCCTTCAGTGTATGTAGACAAAAACACCCATCTACGATTACTCTACAGTAATGAAATCGGAGTTGTAAATGTATCCTTAAAAGCACTTGTTCAACCAAGTAATCATATTTTTCAAATAACCACGTTCCTGTTGAGTCACATCAGATAATGTTCGATTCAACGAAGCGGTGAAAGAAATAAGAAAATCTGAGTAATAGAGCATAAGATTTCTGAAAGGAAATTAAATGAACATGTCAGCATTTAACGTAGTTTCATTACAGTTTAAGAGGCACCCAAATTCGATCAGACAGGGTGTAGTACACAACCTAACAAACTTACCACATACTCTTGTAGCAGCTTCGATCATAGCATATTTGTCTGATATATGTGGCATTATTCTCGACGGATACGATGCTGTAAGTCTGAAAGTTAAGGGGCACGTATATGAAATGAAGATTAGACATATAAATTGCTATTCCCTTTTATGTTGGCTAGCCGGGTGTGACTGCCTTTTATGATCAGAAGAATAGGTCTAAATCCATTGGTCAACCAAACGCACGTGATAAACATTTGAAGAAGTGTTTATCTCTGAGTAGGTCGATTCTTACTTAGTAATGCTTTACCAGTTAATCTTGCGTACATCCTTTTCTTTTGCCGATACATATTATGCGAACTCGAGACGTTTTACTTTAGTCTATATCTTTCACTGTAGATCCACAAACCCCATTGTATACCAAGATGACTAAACTGAAGAAAATATTCGTTGTCAATACAAGTAAGTTGATTTCAGGCATACTGAAGCATGAAGTTATCATTTGCAACCGCCTTTAATACTTTCCGTTGTATATAGTTGTATTCCTGTGTGTTTCAACAATCAAAACTTTAGCCTCCGTGAATGACATCACAATGAACCTGAAGAGGGATAAAAATGCGCAAAGTGTGGCAAAATAAGAAATCCACTACTTATTATAAACAATTTTCTTAGATTCTCTTAGCTCTCTGCATCAATTGTATGTTAATTATCGTTTTCTTCGAATACAAACTGCACACAGAATAATAGTATAAAATCTTCTTACGACATGTAGAATGCCTGTTTCTATGGAAAGCAGGGAAACAATAATGCACCCAACGACTTACTGAAGTGATATTCTTAGCACCGCTTATCTGGTCTTATCACTACCTTATTAGTCTAAGCTATGGATAAACCAAGTGTTTGGATAATTGATAGATAATTTGGTTTAATGCTCATGCACAATAGGACCGGACAAATGGTATATAAATTCAAGACGTTTTAAACGCCTATAAAACAGTGAAACATATATATATATATAGATCACTGTATAGGACTATTTCAGTTCATTACGAACTGAACCAAAGTAGCACAAGTTAACCCCAGGCACGTAATGTAGCACATTATTATCATTATTCCGCATCTCCATATGGATGCTGGTCTGCAAACTACCGAAGAGACAGAGTGCCTGAATAATATATCCCAACCTACAGTGAAGTTGTTCATGAGATTGGTGTGGTTGAATGGGGATTACAAGAGCCTTGAAAACTGTGTAATGGCTTTGTTTCGCCTAAACTTAATTGATCATACTAGAAGGTGTTTATTCCTTGAAACAAACACTGAAATTTAATGATATATTGAAATGCTATAGTATATGGACCCAATAATAATATCCACAATGGCGGATGGACACGGCACTATATACTGAATAGCTCATGTAAATTTTAACATGAAACTGCAGGCTGTTACTCTTTCATGCGCGCTCGTCAAGAAGCTGACCTTAAACAAACGAAAAAAGCTTGTTGTAACATTCGGATGGCAGGCGAAATAAGTAGCCTATATGTTTCAAAGAGGTTGCTCTCGATAAAAAAACAACGATAACTGTTGGTAGGCTGCCAAAAAGTATGCAAGGAAAGCCAGTAATACTTCTGATTATAGCTCTTCAGTTTTTGTGGCACAATGATGCTGGTGAATAGCCGCGAACTTATAGCAGCTGTACTCGTCAGATGACGTCCAGATAAGATTCAAAAGCTATCATTTGTATTATTTTAAAGGTAATGTTATCATATATATTATGTCGGATGTTATTATCTCTTTCTCTACGTAAAACTGTCGGTAGGTTCCCAGACTTTCACAAGCACTTGCATGTGCAACTGTTGACTGATCGTTTACACGTTAGCTAGTAATCCTATCTCAATTTTGACAAGCTAGGAGTTGGTGTGGAATTTATTAGGCAGGCTAAAATTTTAAGAATCTCTTTTAGGATACACTGGTCAGCAGCACGTGAAATCATAATAAAGAACATTTCTTAGTGATTACTAATAATAAATTGAGAAAATACTTTCCAATTAATTTATCTTGGAATTGTAGAGGATTTATGATAGCAAAAAGCTCGTTTGACTTCTTCCCATTGAAGTCCTGGGCTCTAGGACTTGATGAACGGATTAAGCTGGAGTTGGCCGTATCGAGTAACATTTTGGTGTTACGTATAATTTGGTTAGTACAGATTTGGAGGAGGATCAAAGTGAAGCATGAAGGTCGCTCGTTAGTTACACTAACTACAGCCGATGTTGTACATTTGTATTAGTAATAATTTGAACCTCGCGACTGAAGCTTATTATGTCAGTCTTTCGAGCAACCTATTCGTCCTGTTTTGAAGTTTTGCCTGTCGGTGGAAGTCAAATACACAGTTTTCTATTCATAAAAATTGATCGTTGGCTTACTAACTACAATAAGGTTGTTTTTTAAAACCGCCACATCTAGACGACTGAATGTCCAGTTGCTGTGACCACTACAATCAGTGCAGCAGGAATCTCGTACCTGAAGCTGCAGTACCTCCAGTCTTGTAGGCTACTGATAGATACATCAACCGTCAAGCTTTTTAGTAGTTTTCAGTTCCGCAAGAAAAATAAAGGATATAAGAAGTAGGATTTAAAATTTATGATAAGCCAAGATTAGGGATATGGTTGTTATGAAAATTTTAACATCAATAAAACGAAACATATCGTGTTTGAAGGGGAATATATCTTTTAGACGTTCTAGACACTGTCTTCTCATCTAGTGATATATTAGGGTCCAATTCGTTTATGAAATTAAATGTCATGAATATACAGCATCTAAAAACGTCGTTGCCCAACGTGTCTGTAATACGAGAATCCTGAGGCTATTTTGAACCTGTGGTCAGGGATGAGGATATGAGATGTATTTGGATAGTGGTCGATGTGTTGAAGTGCATATTATCTGAATGCACTAGTTGTTGTAGAATGTTATAACAGACCATATCTGAATCTGATGCTAATACAAATAATCCCCCTACCGGAAACTGAATAAGAAGATTGGAGGCAAGAGAGCAAGTTCACAGGGGTCAACCACATAAGTACTGGTTTAGATGTGTCTAGAAAATGAAACCACCTTTGGTCAACAACATCCAAATGTCACCAGGAGATTTTAACCGGTGCAAACCAACCTTCTCATTTGGTGACATCTAACTAACTAACGTAAGCAAGTGAGCCATGAGAAGAAAACTTTTAAGTATGCACATAAATACTCCGGAACAAAAAACCATTATGCACACAAACTTGATTGTCACCTTTTGGTAAGGAAGAATTCATACATATGTAAGGATATAAAAATATTTTGATTTCCTTTATAATGATTGTTTACATGAGCATCTTCTACAATTTTTGAAACACACTGAGATTTTCTAACGCAACCAACTAGCAGCAGGACACGAAAAACGATATGACCTGGAATAGCCCTAGAGAATATCATACAGTAGTTATTCAAGTGTTCTGTGGACCTCGAGGTTCTCCCACAGCCGGTCATCGGATAGTGGAGAAGTTTCTTTAAGGTCATTAAATATTGTGGATACCATTGTACAGCGGGGTTTGTGCTGTTCATTTGTTTGATGGAAAAGTCGACAGAGAAACTAACGCTGGTAAGACTGCACTACACTGACAGCCTTCCGTCACTTAAAGGTAAACCGACCAGAAAATAGATAACCGTATTTCTGCCTTCGTAGAAGAGTTCTAGAACACAAAAAGGTAATAAAATTATGGAGGAGTCAGGATTTCTTATTTATTGTACAAGGGACTACTCTCTACAAATCAAACGGGAGATTAATGTACCCTTAAATGACATCATACCAGGTTCCCAAACATAAAGCCCTGTAGATTTAGCACCTAACATCTACACCCTAAACTTTGGCACTAATAAACTCAAAACATTACACTCGGTTTATTCCTACAGTAACAAATGAGTTCACATGTAGTATTTCCAGTTGCAAGCTACTATCGGCAACGATGAATTCGCATTAATATTTAATTTTGGTTGACCACTAAACGGTAATAAAATTTATCAAACAGCATTCTCACTTCTTGGTATTGCAAGGAGCAACCGAAACCTCTGGACACTGTTAAGTAATACTGCCTGACCAAACATAACAATGCAAGTTCTTATCACGAGTAAGTCTTCCGGATATAACTTAGTCTACCTCTTTGTTTTAGCAGATTAATAAAATCGCAATCTCATGCTGCAGCCTGAAAATGTAATAGCACATACTTATTTATAGACATCTAAACATTTATTGTTTTCATATCAGTTACGTTGACTTCATGGCCAGTTCGTTCCTTAACATATTTGATTACCTGACCTAACGATGATGATTGCATTATCTATGGTCCGAAATTTTCTTCTAAAGCCGGTATCCTCGTTAGAGATCACAAATTATCCACAAACCTTCATAAGGATGGTTTTTCATTATCCGGTCTGATTTTATTATTTACTCACTCTGTTCTAGAATCATGAAAATCATGGAAGGACAATCCAGACACTTAGACCTGGGATATTACTTTAGACTTATGATCATAACATTTTGGTAATTGTTCGCGAACCCTGCAGATTGTGTTTTAAGCAGAATAAACGCTTTAACATTCTTAAATCTAGTGTAATTGAAGTTGCAACTTCCTACATGTAAATAGTGAGCTTGAGTAAACTGAAACACATAAGAATATGTTTCTCCTATATGCTGGAAGTTATTCAGTGCTGTTTTGAACTTTGTCTGACTCATGGACCATTTACTGATCGTGATACACCCAAACGCATCAATCAGGTGTATTCCCCGAACGAGAAGCACGAGAAATGGTACTGCATGAATATAAAACAAAATGAAATGTCGATTCTTGGGGAACAACTGCATTAACTGCAGTGCGGAAAATGATATTAATAAAAAGATGGAAGACGACTCCAATTACAAACCCATCGATTGTAAGACATCTGTTTAACAACGAAAAGGTCGATGAGTTACAAACAAAACAATTCATCCTGTGGTCTTCAAAAACTGTTACACGGCAGCGATTAAGATAAGGTTTATGTTGAATAAAAGACAGAAGAAATAGTTTGTGTTGTCAAAAATGACTTCAATTAATTTCACGTATTAAAAACTACGCAAATATATGGACACCTGTAAACTATTCTGGCCTACAGGCGCCTAACCAACCTCATGCCTTTCAAATATAGAATTTCTGCTGTGAGCCAGGCTATTCAAGGTCGCGAAAACTAAAAGGCAGTTGAGTCTGAAAGTGGTTTACTTATCTATCTTATCGATTGCCGTTGGATAGATTGTCTCATGAATCCTTTACAATGACTGGTCAGTTTAACGCGTATGCATTTCCACAAACAAGTAGTATTCTAATTATATCCCTAAACTCTTTCACAATATGGACTTCTGGTTTGACTGCGTTTGGGGTTTTCTATTGTAAAGGTGTTACAGACGACGGTGCTGTCGAACGCTGAATCTCCGTGACATCTTAGTTCCTTACTTTTCGGGAGAAATGCGAACCACTCGAAAAAGTCTATGGGATTGCAGCAAAGTGGACCGAAGGACTAAGAGACAGATTGCACTTGATTAGAAAATTGTGAACTTACATACCTGGGTATCTATCTGAAGATATCGGTGATCTGTTGCTACTAACCACAGAAGTCCAAACTTCTTCTATTCCGTTTACAACCATTTGAGTCAGATGAATAACTTGACAACGTGTGGGATATGGATGACTGACTGGGTGGTCATTATTAAAGTGGGCTGTATGTTGTACTCGGTGACCTAAGTTTGTTAGGCGGCCTAAACAAACTTGCTGTTCTTCTTATTAAAGGGTAGTCAGGAGACTGGTGTTTGATTTACTTTCCCAGGAGTTTTCCTAATGAATTCTGCGATTCGCTTGTAGTTATAGTCCATAAATTGTTCTTAACTTGCTTCTTGGAGTAAGTGGAGTCTGACTGAAGGATGCATCCTTTTGAGTACATATACTCAAAAGTAACACGCTTGGAAATTTTAGGTCTCACATAATTCACCTTCCTAACCAATGAAAGGTTGTCTCAAACTAGTATCAAACTTTCTTCGATTAGAAGTAAGAGACACCGAAGCATGGCAATTAAGATTTGATTGCATGTATATCTACTGGGCTTAAGCTGTCCAAATCTGTTAGCGTCATACGAATTCATTGACTATAACACTTATTTTTATATTGCATGATACAAATTTTTCGTTATCATCTGGTAACTATTTGCTTTAGTCAATAGTGTTTTTTAAGTGGCTTACAGAGGTTTATGTTTAACTTACTGGTCCTCAACAGACACTTGGTGCTTGTAATCCATACTATAACACTAGACAATCAATAGAACTCGTGAAATCAATCGACTGTAGATTTCATTTATCACATTTCTCGGTTTCTATGTCTCGTATCTAGTCACAATGCCTCACTTATTTGTCTGCTTTCTGTCAGTGAGACTATAATTTATGGACGACCTTTGAGCGACATCGAAGGGACCTTAAGAACGGACGCCTGATTAGGACTAAATCAGGGTTATAAACCAGTTAGAATTATGAATTACAGTTGATGATCAGGTTAAAATTAGATTTAGGGTTATCATCACGAACTGACATAAGCTATAATGCCAAAACTATATTTAGCCAAATGTATAAATGAATTTCGCGGCAAAATCTAAGATCTGTTATCTTACACATGATTTTTTTGTCCTTAAACTATGGTCTCCCCTATCCGTCTTTTTAAAAATATTTTTCAACCACGTTTTCTTTCCACTTCCATTTTCGAAATATGGTTTGACGTTTATCCTACAATCAGAGTTTCCTTACCGGAACCACATTTAATAAATTAGGAATCGAGTACATTGCGCATGTGAATTTTAACCTGTTCACTTTCCTTGACATTTTAGAATCTGTTTAAATCATCAAGTTGTCATTCCAAACGTTTATCATCTTAGAATAATGGCCACCGTGTCTAAACACAAGAAAGTGAGAATCATGAAGCAGAAGTTAAAACTTTTCCGAGCCAATGAACCATTAAAGAGTGTACTGATGTGGGGCATAAATTATTCGTTTTCTGCTTTAAATCATGTTAAGCAACGTGCACTGTTATTGAAAGACGATTTCAAAGCATATATGAAAGTGAAGGTTAATAACCACCATTTTAACAAGTAAGTTTTCTTGTATTTATGGTGGACTTATGCTGACGAATGTGATTCTAGGGAGAATATGCCAAGTAGATTCAAGTTTAAGGAGTACTGCCCAATGGTGTTCAAGTCATTGCGAGATCGGTTTGGAGTTGACAAGATGGACTATTGGGTAGGTGGTTCGGAGTTGGTTTATTTGTTGATAGTAATATCTCCTCCTCCTTTTTACCCCTGAATGGTGTTAGAGATTCATAACTTGTGCATACCGGTTTTTGTCTGGTATTTAATTGTTATGAAATTAGATTCTGTTCGTTTGATGGGTTTTATCGACAGCTTTGAGTGGTAGTCTGCAATAAACCTTGGATATGAAGAGTTTCTAAACAGTGCTATTTTCACCTTGTTATTTTCACCTTGGAAGTTATAAGTGCTGACATTTCAAAGTTATATCCTATTACGAGTCATTTCTCTGTAAATATGCTTATGTGATAGTGAATTTGTGGTTGTTCTAAGTTAATTAGAGCGTTTAACTATTGAGTTGTAAGTTAGGACCTCACACCATCTACTCTGGTTTACACAGTCACTCAGTATTTGAATCGCCCAGACAATAAACTGCACTCGAATTTTGAGAACACGTCCCTGAGTTGCATTATAAGTTGTGCATGTGGATGAATTTTTATGGTCTAAATTAATTTATAATTATATATGCAAACGACATTTGCAACAATTAAACAGTTGTCTTGTTATTGTTTCACCAACTACACGGCTGTAAATATATGATCGTTGGTGCTTAATATTGTTCACATGTTTTTAAATGTCATGTTGATTCTCTAGTTTTTACTCTTATTTAGTGAATTTTGCGCGTTTCTGTCAATCAACAGTACAGTATAGGATGTGTCTCAAAATTATCTTGTACCGTATTCCCATCTACCTCTTTTGTATAAGTCGTCTTGTTTGGTGATATCAATGTAAAATTGATTAACTTGCTGTGTCCAACATTGAGTTAACTTGGTTCAACATCGTAAAACTATTGTTGTTAGGTTGTTAAGGAAACTAGTGGTTTGTTTGGTATTTGTTAACTGAGTGCCAATAATACATGAATGCTTGCCCTTCACTATGAAGGTACAATGAACAGCAATTGAATGTGAATTGGCGAGCGTGATCTGAGTTGTTACTTAATATATTCTGATAATTGGTAGCTTTTCAAATGGGAGCTACATTACACGTTGGTGAAGTATGCAGTAGAAGAAGCCAGAATATCAACTAGTGTTCGTCGGTCTATATGTTAACTGTACTGGGTATACATTCAGATACTGAATGGTATAAGTAGGTCGTTGTATCAATTGATCACTTTGCATAGAGTGGAGTCAGGAAACTGTTCTCGTTGTAAGCAAAGATGGATAGTGGCTAGCAGTGGAATTCAGGGCACGCTTTTCGTCCTATTTGGGACTCGTCAGCCGGATACACCTGCATCTCAGAGTTAATGTTCACTCTGGGACTCGAACGCAGTAATGCTTGTGAATTAAGGCTGTATCAAGATATTGGCACAGTATGCACATATGTCAATAATAGACTGATCGATTGCAGTCCTAAACATCAATGGGAAGATTCAACCAAACAATACTAAATGAATTTAACCTTCACCCCATTGCACAAGCAAGTGGCTATCAGGACTCAGTAGCTAAGTGGATAACGCGATAGCGTTTAAAGCGAACATTACTGGGTTTGGGTCCTAGAGTGAACGTCGACTCTGAGATGCAGGTACACCCAGCTGACGAGCCCCAAATAGGACGAAGCGCGTGTCCTGGATTCCACTGTTAGCCACTATCCATCTTTGCTTACAATGTTTGTGAATTAAGGCTATATTGAGGCAATAAGCACAGTATGCACATATGTCTATAAGATACTGAACGATTGCAATCCTCAACATCAATTGGAATATTCAATCAAACAATACCAAGTGAGTTTAACTGTCCTCATTGTTTAGCATTTAGTTGTGCGTTATGTAGTTCAAGGTGATTGTCGACCAAATTAGAGCATTGTAGGTATTTACTTTTAGATGGAATAATGTTAACGAGTCTAGAGCTCCATAACATTGTATTTACTGCGGACGTTGAATGTATCGACCTCCATTCAGAGTGACCGATTCTTGACTAGTCATCACGAACAGTCCTCATGAATAGATTACATCTGGTTCTTTATCATTACTACACAGAATTCTCCTATTTCTGATCTCCACTTCAGGACTCTTTCACCAGACACCAACCATTGTGGGATAGTACACGTGGGAAATCTGGATCGAAATTTCTAGTCACGTATAACCGACAATTTGTGGCCAAAACAATCAGTTCAGAAGAAGTTGAACAAATGCATCAAATGTTAGAAGAATATTATTCCGTAAGTTTTTGCTCTACTAACGGGAGATTGGATTATTTGGTTGGTATTTAATCTGATGTAACAGTGAACCACTGGTTTTGGTCAACGGGTGTTATTATGTAGGGGTGAAATAGTGCATCCATTTGGAAGTTGAACAAACTACTGTTAGCAGAATCAATGTTGGAGTATGTGTTGTCATCAGTTTACATCTAGTGATTTCTGATGATCTGTAGAAGTTAGTTAACTAGGTAGTTAGGTGATAGGGAGTAAGTGTTACCTTATGTGATAGAAACCGATAGTTACTGACTGATTGATGTGAATTTTCAACATGTTCTCCTACTGTCGATCCACTTAAGATAAGCAAGTTCATTTTGGAAGATTTACAGAATGCATTGATTAGTTACTTATTGAGCTAATTAAGCATTATAAACTGTTCGCCAAAGTATTCAAATACGAGATGATCATTCGTTGGATTCTTGTAGATGGAGATTCTTGTACAATTTTATCTGTAAATGGTTGACCATAAATGTTCTTATCTAGTTACATTTCTGTCATTCTAATGTTTACGATTTTGTTGTTATGACGTTATGATACGCTTTTATGTCATGTACATTGTTGTATTCGATGTAATGTAGAAACTGACAGTAAATGTTGCTCTTAGTTCAGCACAAAATGCTACTGCTATTGAATTGTATCAATAAGATGGTTTCAGTGTGCATCAAGAAAAACACTTGCTTCTGCAGTAATCTGAGGACGTCTAACGTTTAAGTATTGAACTAGTGTTGCTCTCAGTGTGGTTCGAGTTTTGATTATCGTTTGTTATTGACATGCAGCCTGATTGATTGTTATCTTCCAATGTGTCTCTCTTCCTTGTAGTATATTGTCAAAGGACACGGTCAAACACTGCTTCCTCAATTTCTTGGACTTTATCGACTTACAGTGAATGATCAGGAGTCGTATATATTAGTAATGAGAAATGTGTTCAGCCCAAGACTTGCGATTCACAAGAAATATGATTTGAAGGTAACGATCTGTTAATTATTAGCTATTTGTGATTGATTTTGTGTGTGTGTGAGTTTGTTAAACGTGAATGAGTGAGTTTGACACAGTGACTTTTGAGAATGGAGGTATGATTTTGTGTAGTTTACTCTAATAAGTGCAGAGTTATTTGTGTTTGTGTGCTTTCCACATTTTCACCTGTAGAATATTCTGTATTCAAGTCATCATGTGAAGCGTTCTGTAAATATTCACTCCTTCGTCGCTCATGGGTCGACTCAATTGTCGAGTTCCAAGATCAACATTAATAATGCTGTGACAGTTTTAGAAAAGGAGCACAAACGTCGTCTACGGATTAAAAAGCATTCGTTTCAAAGTACCACAGGTGTATGTCATGTTATTGTAACTTCACACATGCATCAACCTACTCACCATTTGATTTGTTTCTCTTTCTAATGCCCTTGTGGTGTGAAGTGTGTTGCTATCTTATGCTTCACTTTTTATCGCTACTCACACTGAACTAACCAAAATCCCAGTGTATGTGTTCAACTGATTGCGTTTGTGTTCGTGATTGGGTGTGGGTGTGTAGTGGAATAAAGAAAACAGTTTAGTTTTTGTCAGTGTCGTGTCGATTCCGAAGTTATTCTTCACATGCACTTGAGATTCGTCAGTGCGTTTTGATTAATGAATAACGTATCAATTACTGACCATTAACATTCTGTTTTAATGAGCGTGTTTGCTTTCCTTGTGATTGTTACACAGGACTATGATGAATTGTAGACACTTCTAACGTTTTGTTTTCTATTTGTGCACGTTTGCAACATTTCATGAGTGTTTTATGATTCACTTAACGCCTAACAAGTGGTTGTTTCGGTCTGTTTATTTTGTTCGCTGAATATACAAGTCGTGCATAGAGGGGTGAATAAATTAGTCAACCAACAGACTGACCAATAGATTAACTGACTGGACAATTAAGCTTGATAGGTTGTAGAAAAGTAACGCACTCGTTAAGCGACTAAACACCATAAACCATGTTATCTTTTCGGATGCCTGTTTCATAGTTGATTGTGTAATTTTAACTTTATCATGTAAGTAATTGACAACTCTGAATGTTTTGCGCTTTTTGACTTATCACTGTCGATAACGTCTGTTGAGTTGATGAGTATCATATCTATATAACACGATATGCATTGACGATATAGCCCCCAAATGCCCTGGTACGGCCGAGAGTGGGGAGAGTCTGTTCTCCCTCTTGAAATGCTCTCACATGGCCAGCGAATATATAGCCTCTGCCAGGGAAGTTCTACTAACTGCCTTCTCGTGGCGGGGTGTTGCTTACGAAATTGAGAGGACGAAAAGCGAATGTCCGGCGTTTTAATCGGGTTGGTGGACAAGGCGAGTCCACCTAGGGGAGTTGGAAAACCCTGATTCCAAACTAATGGTGCACATGGGCTCCAGTATCCTTAGGGAACAAATGGCGTACGAATCAATCATTGATCACCGGCTAGCATGGGAATGCATCTCCTCGCGATGCTCCACTGCCTTGTGGATCAGATCTTTCAGTCAAAGGCTCCGTGTGTGGTCCCCTAAGAAAACCACCTGCTTCAGTCTGGGCACCTGGGCAGTATCACAGCCCTCAAGCAAATCGAATGAGATTTGTATGGCGCATATGTATCTGGTGCTTCCTTGTACCAATATTTATGTGTTTAAATAATAATAATAATAATAATGTAGGTGGAGATTGGAGTGTTTTCAAAATCAAGTGTTGAACTCGTAGGTTTTTGTGATGCGTTCTATATTGGAGAGTCTTCTTGTGTGATCTCTACTCTCGACAAAGAACACCTAAGCCAAACAACAGACCTCATGATACTGTAGGGCTAAAAAAGTTTCAAATATAATTATGAATAGCAGTAAATGTTATTTCAAATAATCACCAAATCGATATTAAAAATATCAAGATAATGTAGAAAGGTGTTTCCAATTATGGAGAGAAGAGCAGTTGATGGTGCTAAATCCCTCTTCTCTCAATAGGAAATAAAGGCTCGGCTATACATCCAACCTAGATTGTTTCTCCAAACAACCACATTTCACTCTATTCATTTTCCACACCATCTACATACATGCAGCTGAAATACTAACTCTACTCCTTCATATTACAAATTACACATTTTATATACCGACCATCATACGCACAAATAAACACAGTGATGTCTCATACGGAATCACCTTGACCAAAAATAACATAACATCGACACGTTCAGACCTACTTTGGTTTTGATTGTGCTGAAAATATTCTTCTTTGTTTCCTTTCAAATTGCGTTAATTTAATTCTGTTACTTTGAAGAGGTGGCTTACATTAAGTCAAGAAACATCGGAAATCCAGAATTCCGCCCATTGGGATATCACAAGAACATAATTATTGTATTATTGTTATTATTATTATTATTTATTATTATTATTATTATTGTTATTATTATTATTATTATTATTATTATTATTATTATTATTATTATTATTATTATTATTATTATACACTCTTTATCTTCCCTTAAACCTTAAGATTAAAATTGCTTCATGACGTTCTTCCTTCCTATACTATATCCTTATATACAACCTATCTTTTATATACTATCACCACTAAATTAATTATTTCTATGAATCCGGTGTTCATCTTGTTGTGCTAATGTGATATGGCAACTTGGACCGATGCCTATGTGTGCCTGGTCCTACGTTGTAGCTGAATGACTGATTATTATTATTATTATTATTATTATTATTATTATTATTATTATTAACTTTCTACCCAATGCTCAATTTATTTGAAACTATCAAGTCCAACCTTGGTATTGATACCCATAGACGTAGAATGTTTTTTTTTTTCACTCACCTCTCTTCTGACTTGCTCCTCTTACTTCCCTCATGACTCCACTTCTTTAAATTGTAGAGATCATTTGGAGGCTTTACTGGGATTTGATTATCTTACGATGCGGTTGAATAAGTTTTGTATTGTTGTTTCTAAATATTTAACACTTAACACTTCAAACCACTTTTTGACTGCAAGCCTAGCTGACCAAGTTCTGAAAAGTGATCACAGCTGTGAAGATATCAAACATTGGTTAATCTTGTGTGCAACGGGTTTTCTGTTTAACCTTAAACCATTAGATCTCAGTTATAAATCCTGTTCCTGTTATACAGATGTTATTTTTACTGTTACACAGTGAGTTTGACTTGGAGACAAAGTTGCAGGTACGTTGTACCCGTTAGAGGTGTATTGGACTTATTGTTGAAACAACTTTCATATTTCCATATGGTTCGCTTATTTCAATATTATGGCAAACAGTCACAGATGTGTTTTTCAATGGAGACTTATCAATCGTATTTTCAAACGGTTACCTTCCTTGTGTAGATAATTTTGCTTTTTGTGAAAACTTTGAAGTAATAATTAGTTTGATTCGTATGTAACTTCTCACGGACGTGGGTGTTAAATACTGTTTTTGTCTCTGTAGTGGTAATCACTCACCTGTTTCGACTATTGTTTTTGGACTGTACTCATCATCTAACGAATATCGTTTTGCCTAATGTTGCCCAACAAGTTGTTGAGCTAATCGCCCATACACTGTATCCTTATCCTCGTAATTAGGGCTCAGCTGTGGATCGTGAAGCCAACGAAAAAGAGAAGGTGAGCTGACAACATTTTCTTTCTCTTCGTCATTATCATCGTTGTCTTCACGATCTTTTTCACTGTCGTGATGTTTCTGTCTCTGTGATATCAGTCGATTTTCGTGATTGCATGCAATGTGTTTGTGCATTTATTTTCAGTGTGTTAGGTGAACGTGTGATTACTTGCTTTTTCTGTTGTTATGTGGTAATCAACAGGAAATATTTGAAACACATGTCTGTGCGTTGTAGTTGAATGGTTGCTGTGATAAACGCTTAGATATGGTGTTATGAAAACTTTTATTTTCATCTATTCTACCCGGTAAGTATAGTGTACACATAGTTGTGTTGGTGGTTGGCATGATCGATATGTTATGCTACCAAGGACCGTAGTCTGATTAACTGTCTCAACCGATTGTTTATATTTGTGTGAAACAGATTGGGAAGAACACCGCAGTTTCTTGATCCAGTGTTGATTTTCATCCTTACACTTATATTGTTGGTAATATCGAAGAAGTTATTGAACTGAATAGTTGGTTGTTGTATAGCACCACGAATCGATTCGAATGAAGGAATTTAGTGTGAAATGTGATGTGGCAGACAAGACTGAACAACGCATACAATAGATGAGATTGAATTTTAGTCGAGGTAATGTAGGTGATTTATTCACCTGACTGAGATCACCGCCTAAATATGTCTGTTTGGATAATTTCAAATGGATATAAATACACATGCTAGTACAACTTTTCTTGCATTATCAATTTACTTCATATGTATAGCTGATTGATGAAGTGTCCACTGACCACTAAATCATATCGTAGCGCACAGTTAAATGGGATAATGCGTATCTTCTGAATTTCAAGTAATAAATGACACTTAGACAGCTTGTTTATTAGTAATAGTGGTTAAATTTGTGTAATGGGAACTAACTCAGGAAATGATGTTTTCTTAAACGTTGAGGGTGTCTCATTCGCTTTTGGAACTACAAACCTAACCACATAACTACTTGCTCATACGCCAACCAAAGACCGATCAGGAACTCCGTGTAGTCGTAAGCAAGTTGTATATAATGACAAATACGGAGACTGGGGAATGTGTAGAATGTAGTACTGATGTTTCTGTGTGACTGTTTATGATCGTTAACTAATTGCCGTTCACCTTCGCTAATGTGATATAATTGTACAATTTGAAAATATGTATTATCAGATTATATTGTTAAATGTATGTGCAATAGAATGTTTTTTCGGCATGCGACATTACTTTGCATGTTATAGGTCTTGAAGTTTTATTCACCAATAAAATACCTTATGCTATTGGAGCCTATGCTTGACGGAGTTTAGTACTGTACAATGAAGAGATTGTGTGTGATTCCTATTTGTGGACTTCTTGAAGTCTCTTGACTGAACAGTAGGTTAGAAATGGTTAGAGTAGTTGATATCGATCGCTTTTCTATTATCACTTGTCATTTTCGGAAATGTATGTAAGGTAGTCACTTTTTGAGCTAAAATTGATGTTATAGAAGATGAAGTTTTATCTAAGGGCTGCATGGTTTTGTGGATTATTTGTAGGGTGAACACATGGAGTAGTGAAATAATGGTGCAAGATGTCTACGATCTGTTGCGTAATTGGTCTTTAGTGTCTTACTGTATAGTCAGTACATTCTAGAATTATCGATTGCGTAGTATTAGGTGTTATTCGAATTGACCAATGACAATTGAATGTATAATAAC